TTTCTATTTGTTTAAATAATTTATCCTCAAGAGACTGATAGACTGTGTGAGAGAAACGGCACAAGTCCCTGGGGTTGGATTTACTTCTAAAATTCTGTCGGCAATTTCTGCAGCTTTATCTACAGTTAAATTGGAAACCGCTGCCAAAATAGACTGAACAGTCGAAGGCAAACGTTGAAGGAATAATTCTAACATTAAGTTATCAGGAACATTTAAAGATTCTACTGGACGTTTCATATTTCTAAGCAAATCGGAAGGTTTTCGAGAGCCTAATTCTTCTCCAGATAATAATTGACGAATTTCTTGCTGAGAAGATTCTCCTGAACGATTTATTAACTCAGTTTTAAGCTTTGTATATGGATAGATAGGGTCTGGTTTCATAAGTAAATCCCTCACAAGTGATGCAATATCTGGAGGAAGATGAGAAACTACATAATTATATTTAGTAATGGATTCTGTGATAGGTTTGGGGGTGGCAAGAGCAAAGGTACTTTCACACATAATAAACCATAAAGATGGGTCTGATCGGATATAAACCGGAATTTGGACGGCATAAACATCAGACATTGTGCAAGGTTTTTAAGCCAAAATAAAAGCAAAAATTTAACTAAAGAAAATGAAATTAAATGATAAGTAGAAAACAGAATTATAAAATGATCTATAATTACTACTCATCTGTGATCCGGAGGATGAAAACCGATGTAATCCATTACTTCTGGTTTGGAGATCTTGAGTGATGGCTTGTAGTCAAAACCGAAAGTGCTTGAGAACTGTTCATACGATTTAACACAGTCCGGGTTACCATTATGGAAATTTCCTGTTATGTTTTTACCACCAATCCTCGAATTCCATATCACAGATTATGTTCTTACTGCATTAATATAAATATTAACAAGACATAGTGCACAATAAAAATTAAGCTTTATTTCGGAACTTCGCGCACACTGCCCGACAGCCTGCCTGTTTCGCTCTGCTCGCTACTCGTAAGAAATTTCTCCTCTAGGGTTGCCACACTTATCGGAGGGCGCAAGGCGCGCTCCTTATCGCCATCACCACAATATACACAAGAGGTTCAAAATTTCCATTTTAATATGAGTTTTAGTAATGCATTTATGTTAAAAGTGTAAACAAGTTCACAAGAATACTTTTAGCATTCATGCAAAACACCAAATGAACCAAAGCCAGCATTCTTAAAATTTTCACTAGTCCTGAATATATCTTTGTTCTAATAAACATATTTTTTGGCACTAACTTAATTGCTTTAATAATGGGCAAGTTAATCACATATATGTGTGCTTTCAAATGTGGATGCAATTTTCTTGTCAAAGCCACTCATTTTGAATATTTTTTCATGGTATCATTTTTCAAGCATCAGTGTGTGCTTGTTCTCTTGATTCAGAAAAGGGATTATTTTATAAGTCTTGTATTTCTGAGTTAGATGGTATCTTGTCTGAGATTTCACTCTTTATCAGGTTGTTAAATAAGATTATGTTATTGGGCATATTATTAAAAACTGAAAACTACTAATAGAATTAATTCCATGGAATGTCTTTACACAAACATCTTGGCTTTCCTTCATCAGTTTTTTTCAGAAAAGGAAGCATACAAAATCTTATTTTTCTTGTGTTTGTGTATCTTGTATATGTCATATTTTTAATGCATTTTCATTTGTTAGCAAATAAAGTCTGTTAGCTTTTTTTTTTTTTTTAATTAAAATAATTCTTCTGTGCGTACGTCTGAATCACCTCTTTTTGTAAATGTCTGATGTACCGAGATATACACAGTACACAGTAGAATCAAAGTAAATTCTATTAGTGTCTTTTTTTTAATTAAAAAATTTTAATTTAAAAAAATTCTACTATGTGAACCTATCTGAATCATCTCTCCTTGTATTTGTATGATACAAGGAAAGGTACACAGTGTGCCTCTCCTTGTATTTGTATTATATTTGTATTTGTGTGCATTAGAATCATACGCTGTGTGTGATTCTACTGTGTGGATCTATCTGAATCACTTCTCCTTCTTCCTACTATTCGAATATTCAGATTTTTTTTATTTCTTATAAAAGCTTTCAAAATATTTTTTTAATTTATAAACTATCTATATAAATAAACTTTTATTTTTTATCCTCGCTTTCCTTGTACCTATTTCAAAATACACATATTTGATCTTACATATTTGAAAGAGAAATTATTATTGATCTGTTATGTAATACTTTATTCGAATTCAGTGTTTCTCAAACTTTTTTTAAAAATATTTTATAACTGAGTCATGATTTTAAGTCTAAAATGCTTTCAGGTTTAAATTCCCTCAAATGGTCAGTTTTAAAACACTGTATGATCACCAGGTAAATAACTGAAACTATTTTTAATAAATTAGAAAAATACATTTTACGTAAGTGGAATCCCCCCCCTAAAAAAAGGTTATAAGCATCAGCTTTTAAAAAGTAATTATTGTCTAGGGAATACTCTCCAGAAAGTAGGTAGCTGGCACTAATTGTGTAGCAGCAGTTGTGCACGTAGGTAGAGTAAGTTCGCAGATGCATCAGAGCAAGTGGAATGACAAGACATTTAGACAAGTGGTCTCACTTGCAAGCTGTGATTCATTGTCCTGATCAAGTATCTCCAGTGTGGCCATACCATTAATGGCAATTGTTATTGTGCTACTTAGACAAGGTTACGTGAAGCCATCTGATCGCCAAATTCAAGAAGTGGGAAGTCTGGAGTTACCTCCTTATAGCCCAGGTTTAACACCCAGTTGACTATTTCCTTTTCTCAAAATTGAAGGAGCGTTTATCTGCAATGAGGCTATGTGAAAACAGCCACTAAGAACTGGCTCAGTGGGCAGGGACATGATTTCTCCCAAGCTGCGTTAAACAAGTTGGTTTTGCATTCAGATGAATGTCAAAATAGATTTGGTGGTTATATGGAAAAATGAAAGGCAAGTATTCCTCTTAATTCTGTTTTGTATTTTCTGTCTGTTATTACTAAATAATTTTTATTACCCTTGTAACCTTTTTTTTTTTTTTTTTTTTGATTCTCCTGGTAATAACAATATCTGAAATCTAACAGAGCTAAATCTTAATGCCTTAATAGTATTACTTGGTGAGAACTATCAGAAGTATCAATTAAAAAAGAAGCGTGTATAATCTAATTTTGAAATATTTATAGAAAAATTTCCTATTCTACTTCCTTTTTGGGGGGGGGGTAGAATGAAAGGAGGAAGTGAACTCGGGTACAAATATTTCTAATAAAAAATTTTAATTATGTTTTGAAATTAAAAGATTATGAATCACATTAAAATGAGAAATGCATGTTCGTATTGCTTATTTCAGCTCTCTGATGTCAGGTTGTACAGCTATAAGTTTAACTTATTGCAGTTTTTATTCATACTGTGGGGGCATATGTTATCAGGTACCGTGGATGCATATGCATATGTTATCGAGAAAAGTGTCATACAGACACTATCAACAGTTAGATAAAACTTATTTATTCTCCTCAGCCAGAAGTTGGCCAGTGTTATTTTCTTAAAATGGCATTTGAAGATTTCATTACATGACAGTTCAACAACCTTTGCACTTTTTTCTCCCAAGTTTAAAAAGAAGGTTGAAAGACTTAAATTTTCCACAGCAGAAAACAGCTCATATACCTAAAATTTATTGAATTAATTCTTAGAAAATTAGTTTCAAAACTTTTGAATAAAAGCTTATATTATTTAGTATTATTTATAGTAAATTTTTTGAGAAAAGAAAGAATATTTGTTCACTTCTTTTTTGTAAATGCAAGATCTTTTAAAGTGTTTTTAACTAGTCATGAAACAAATGTTTAGTCAGGAAATATGAAATGTGTTACATTTAACCTAATGCTACTTGAGCATTTTCAGCTTTTGGAAGGTATCAGCTAAAACAGGTAGCATGTGGTCACAATCTAACCAATGAGCTGATGATTTTTTGGGAAGGGGGGAAGGTTTGCAGATAATCAAAAAGGATCTGTATGTTTATGTATGTGAGTGCATATTTAGTAAACTTGCATTAATTCAAAAATAAATAATTAAAAATTTGTTCAATTTGATCAAAAGTGTATGTTTAGAAAATCTCATTTAATTGATTTCCAGACTGTTTCAAAAAATCAAAACCAGATAATTTGAAAAGTTAACTAGTACCTTCAAATTAGCCACCACCCAGTATATTTGCAAAATTAGCATTTACATGGAAATTACCCAGAATAACAAGGTTATTCCATAAATTTTGAATTTCAAAGAAGGTACAGATCTTTAAAGAAAATCATAACATAGATTCTAGCTAAATTAAAGTTACTTTGTTGGTTAGATCTTTACTTGAGCTGTGAAGAGACTATTTGCTAAGTTCAACTGTATCAGTAACAACCTGTGGAAAGGATGAAAAGACCTTTTTTATTCAACTCAAGAAAAATATTAACTGTTGGTACTCCTGGTGCTTATAGATCCATGTCAGTACTTTTAACGGCAATGTAAAATTAAATAATCAGCCAAAGCTGCATAGAAATATTGAACGCGTAGTTGGCTCTACCACCAATGTACACTAACTGGCAATTAATATACATGTCCATGAAAGAGCAAGCTTAATAGCAGGAAAACAAAGTGGCCAAAAGGCAGAACATGCTCTACCTGAAGTAACTGAGACACCAGCTTAAATAGTATCTTTTTAGCCTAATTTGCATAACATATGAAACTGAAATCTCATTCTAGCAAGGAAGCATGGTTTGAAGACAAGAGTAATAGGAAAGATTGCTTCAAAATAAAATTAACTATTAAACAACTTAAATGAATCCACACAACACTTAACATTAAAATTTTTAAAAATGAAAAATGCTCTTTACTTTTGAATCAGTCATTATATGTGCAGCTGAAGAACCAATGCTAAAATTTATAAAATGAGTTTTACCTGTAAAATATTAATTTTATAATGCCTCACACTTTTAGAATGTTTTATATTTTGAATGATTTAATTTTTTTTTTTTTAGGTGGACAAGCATATAAGGCGGTTAGATGCTGATCTTGCAAGGTTTGAAGCTGATTTAAAAGATAAAACCTTAAATCCTCATTCTTCAGATGGTGATACAGCCCACAAAAGTGAGTGCACATTTTGCGTTGCTGAAAACAATGTTCTAGAAAAGCATATGGGCTTAGTTTTTTAATCATGACATATCACAGTAAAGCATTCTGTGATATTTCATTGTTCACTATCTGGCATTCATCTAAATGGAAAAATCATGTCTTTGTATTATTTAAAATTTTTAGAAACTTTTTTTTTTTTTTTTTTTTTTTTTTAACGTTAAGTAAATGCTAAAATGATGCTTGTAAAGCCATCATAAAGCACATGTAGGACTTCAACTCAGAACAAACAAAAGCTGTCACCAAACAGTGTAATCCAAAGCCAGTAACGCTAAGCATAATGTCAATACAATCATAGGATTTTGGTTTTATATAAAACTCATCCTTGATAAGCTGGTTTAGTTGTGAAGAAAGATATAAGTAAATAAATTTTATTTATTTGTTTTTCCCACGCATTTTGAAAAATTGTTAAAATTTGGAGCAATATAGTATTCCAAAATTATAAAATCAAGAAAAGAGTGCATTAATAGGCACAATGTGCAATTTTATTTGGAAATTTGTGTTTTTTAACTTTTGATAATTAATTATCATATTTTTTAGCACTGAATCCGAAAATGACTCTGATTCTTTACATCACATCAGGATCGCAAATGTGTAAATTGACCAGCACATTGAAAAACTATAAATGGTGCTGGAAGGATACACATGTGATGAAAATTGTCAGCATAAATATTTTAAAAGAAAAGCATTGTAAAGGACCAATGACAGTACACAGAGGAGGTGCACTGATGCCCTTTGCATAATTCACAGGTTAAACACCAATCATAGAACACTGCGTGCAAAGCATTGTTTGTGAAAAATCCTTTAATAACATAGTAGGAAGTTTGTTTGTTTAATAAGGTGTTTGAACATGCTAATAAGATGGGATGGGCAGGGAAACAACGAGTTGACTTGATAAAGTGCTTTAGCTGAACAGGGAAAATGCTGCCAAAACAGTATGAGTTTATCGACAAAATCATAAGACAGGGCCCATGTTCTATAAAAACAGTGCACGATTTGGGAAAAACATTCTGCAACATTCAAAAACTTTATGCAAATGTGATAGATCATGATCCGAACAACCATGTGTTCCCTTTGAAGTTGTTACAGAGGTGCATAATATGATTACTGTAGGTTCATTGCATACTGCAAGAGGTATTCCATACAATTTGGATGTGCTGAAAATCACAATCCTCAAGCTAATGTGCTCTGTTCTGCATATGTTTCCTTATCAATTCCAACATATCCACATGTTGCACTGTGGAGACAAGCAACATGTCAACTTTGCGAATTTTTTCTCACCAGATATGAAGATGACTGGTGGCTGTCGTGGATATTATGGATGGATGAGGCACATTTCTCCTTAAACATAAACTCCAAATACTGTATTCACCGTGCTGACAAAAATCCTCAGAATGTGGCATTAGGGTCATTATACAGAATTAAAGTGACTGTATTTGTGTGGCATCACATTTGTTCTTTTTCCGTGTTTCTTTGAAGAAATCATTTCTACTGGTTTAAAAATGTGCTCCATCGCAAATGCCTGGTATACAACAGTGTTGCAGAATTACATAATTTCAGAATGGCAGCAGCAAAATGTCAGTAACGGCATTGTATGAATGCAAAATGGTCGTCACATGTGTTTGGCAAGTGCTGCAATAGCACTTTGAAGATGGCTTACCAGTGGCAGACTGGTAAAGGTAGCTGAACAGTAGTATTTCAGTCGGGGGTTAAATCGCACAAATGAGCTAGCTGCATGGGTCTTTTCATGGTTTTCCGCATGTGTAATGTGTGTACGAGCCAGTTTTTCTTAGAAAGTCCTCCACAAAGGCATCCCTTCCTTTAGGCAAATAGCCCTTGAGACTTTACTATAATCAATTAAACTAAACCAGACCAGCACTTTGAAGGTAGATTCATCTCCTGTTTTGCGGTTTTATTGACATCATGATTCTATGACCTCACTCCAATGTATTTCTGATTCTTGGGTTATCTGCAATCTAAGGTGTACATGTCAAATGATTTGGCAGAATTGAAAGGTGTTATAAAATGTGAACTTATTACAGATTCTTCTTGCGATGTTACATTTGTCATTGTTTTTAACAATCTCCTGCAGGAAATGTACACTGGTGTGCAAAAATTAAGGACCAAGTCGAAAAATTAGCATATCAGCTGAACGAAGAGGCAGAGCGGACAGAAAGACCAATCAGGAGATTAAGTAAGGTGATGTACGGTAGCACATGCGCAGATATGCAGGTAGACGTAATGGGGGAGTGTCTGAGTAGTATAAAGCATGTTGTCGGTGTAAGATCAGTATTTCTGGCAAAGAGATTGCACGCCGTATAGCAGTTAAAATCACACCGAGTTGCTGCCTCAGCAAGAAATGGCGAATAATCAATCTGTTAGACGACATCTGGATGCTTTTACCCGAGGTCGAATCATTGGGAAGTTGGAGGAAGGCCGCAGTGTGACAAGTGTGGCTGCAGAGTTCGGAACTGCTCACAGCATCGTTTCACGACTTTGGAGACAATTTCAAACTACAGGAACAGCTATCCGGGAGTTTAGTAGTGGCCGTACATGAGGAACCACACCCGCAGATGACCTGTATATTGCCTTACAGGCCAGAAGAAACAGGCGGCAGACAGCGGGAGAAATCGCTAGACACAGGCGACTGGACGACCGATATCGCGTTTTACCGTGGTCAGAAGACTGCACGGTGGTGGTCTGTTTGCACGACACCCTGTACGGTGTGTACCTCTCGTTTTCTGTGGTGCCGGGAACACTGGAATTGGAGAGACAATGAATGGGGACGAGTACTCTTTACAGATGAGGCAGATTCAGTCTGAGTAGCGATTCTCATAGCATACTCATCTGGAGAGAGCGGGGAAGCTGCAATCATCCCTCGAACATCATTGAAAGGGACAGGTATGGAGGTGGCAGTGTTCTCGTTTGGGGAGGCATCGTGCTTGGTAGTCGTACAGACCTTCACATCTTTGACGCAGGTTCAGTCATCAGGACCTGTTATTGTAACGAGATTCTTCTTCCATATGTGTGTCTTTTTAGAGGTGCTATGGGTCCGCAGTTCCTTTTCATGGACGACAATGCACCATGTCATCGCACAGTAGCTGCCGAACAGCTCTTAGAGAGTGAGGATATTGAATGTATGGATTGGCCGGCACGATCTCCGGATCTCAGTCCCATCGAGCATGTATGGGATTTTCTAGGCAGACGCTTGGCAGCTCGTACCTTACCACCAGTAACGATTCCGGAGCTTCGATTGGCGCTGCAAGACGAATGGGCAGCAATGCCTCAACAACTCATTGACACCCTCATTCTCAGCATGGGCAAACGCTGTGAAACCTACCTAGCAGTCAGGGGAGATCATATCCCTTATTAAAGACCGGATGTTTCTTGCTGGACACCCATCACAGGGATGTTTCGGCTTTCAGTCGCATTTCGCTCCATGCTACTTTTCCAATAAAGTTTCTTTTTATCCCTCTGATTTCTCTTTTAGTAAGTGTTGCTTACATTACTCATGTCCTTATGTATTGGGGATCTTACGGTATTAAATGTGTTGATTTGGAAAGCTTTTGTACAAAGTTATATTGAAAAAAACTGTCTCGTCCTTAATTTTTGCACACCAGTGTATTATCATCTACGAAGGTGGGCACATAGAAAACTTGTAATCCCAATAAAAGTTTCCCCCCTCCCTTTTCTTGTGTTGTCATTGGTCCTTTACTATCCTTCTCTTTGGAAATATTTTATGCCACCAATTTTTGTCATATTCGTATTGTTCCAGTGCCATTTATGGTTTTTAATTGTGTTGATCAATTTACATAGGAAAAAGGTGGGTGTTGTTAATTAAAAATTTGAAAATTATTTTAGATGGAGCTGTAAGCATGAGAGCTCTGTTGTTTCACATCACAATCTCGAGTGCATCGTAATCTCGAGTCATCACAGTCTCGAGTGCATATTTTCAAATAACAATATCTGAAATTTTATTTCAACTGGTTAAGCTGATAGGCTAGTAGAGGTTCATATATAGGGGGATTTTTTTTATACTACTATGTGCATCTGTGAAAAATTTCCAGGCTTATCAATCGCCTAACTAAAAGAGTGTGATTAATTTAGAAGTCAAACAACAAAAATCAGTGTTATATTTTCAAATTTTCACAGGACTATTTGTTCGGCATGATATTGTATGTTAATTAAAAGAGTGTGACTTTACTGGTCCTGACATTATGAAACTTCTCAAGGATGGTTATTTTGAAAAATAAATGAAAGTTGTGAAAAAAGAAGCCTAGGGAACCTTAAAGACTTAGAAACCAAGTGTTTGGGTAATAAGAAAGATTAGAACATTAAATCAGTCATTGAGAAGATGCTGTAGAAGTACAAAAATTTAGACCAGTGGTTGCCAAACTTACAAAGCTTCTGAGCTACCTTACCATTTTTAAATCCCACTGTGAGCTACCAACCAAAAGAACTACCAACTTCACACACACACACACACACACCAAAAAAAAAAAAAAAAAGTATAAAATTCCGAAAGGTTTCAGATTTTAAATTACGTCCAAAGGGGCGTTTTTTAACATTTTCTATGTTACCTTTATTTATTAAATATCATGTTCTTTGCACTTAAACCATAAAATTCAGTTCAAGAGATCACAAAATAATTTTAAAATAAATGTATCTTTAGAATTTCCAATACACAGTATCGCACATTGGAGATAAAAATGTTTTTTCTGTACAATGTTGCTATTACTCGCTTTGAAATCATTGAGTTTGTTGATCAAAAATTCATTAAAGTTTTACAAAATTTGAAATTGATAATAAAACAAATTTCAAATTTGGGCTTCCAGATGCCCATATTCGCAAGAGGATTACATTATTCAAAATTTGATGGCTCTAGGTACCGTTGTTTTATCACAATGCGAGATACATGTATACATTTATGCAGATTTTTCATTATTTAATTTCTTTAATTGTAATACAAAGTGGTAATATTTGGTGGAAATAACTTGAAGTGAAATAACAATTGTAGTGAATCAACGCAAAATACCAAAATGAAATTAATGGTCCTTCTGAGCAAATTGCCCCTTTGGACTTAAAAAAAGTTACATTTGTTTATTGCTTATAGACTTACATTTCTAGCATATATGAAATCAATTTAAATTAGACTGTATATTACAACAACACAACAAAAAAAAAAAAAAAAAAAAAAAAAAAAACTTTAATTGAATTCATAAGAAAGAAATTGAAGTGTAGTTAGTAATAAGTAACAAATGTAATAAGATATTTTTATTAGACTTATTAACTTTAATTAGACAGAATGAGACAAGAGGCCAAATATTTCCAGAGCTTGAAGAAAGGAATTTTACAGATAAATCATTTTGAAAAATCATTCAGTTCTAACTCCACTGCAGCATTATCTTCTTGAAAATTAAAATGCTTCATGACACAAGTAGAGAACTTTTCAGCGTCAACTTCTATAAAAGTAATTTGACAAACTGTACAACAAACAATTGAAATCCTTTTGAAATGTTGAAAGCGTTTGTAAACTTCTCAAATCTGAAATTTTTTCAGAGTACTGTTTGTTGTTTTAAGAAGCTGTTGAAGACCCTTTTTTTCAAGGGTTTGCTTCAAACATGCAATGTGTTTGCATTCACTTTGGTTGATGTTTTTATCCCACAGTTCCCTTTGTTTAATATTTTTATGACTGTTTTCATTACATCGTATCATTTCAAAACCTGTCTCCTCCTGCCTAATACAGAGTGAGATAACGAAATGTCTAGAAGCTGGGACTCAAACTCACTTACTGATAGCAATCATTAAAAAAAGCCACTGTTGAGTTTGTTGTTGTTATCCCTACCTTGCAGCTGCAAGTTAACCTTTAGGTGATGTCTGCGAGAAAAGCAAGATTCTGCAGCCAAGCTGGATCTTCTAGTTCACGAAAGGATTTGCCTCATTCTTTCAAAAATTCTACTAAGGCAGGGAGCAACTCTTGAAAACACTGTAAAACTCTGCCTCCACTCAACCAACGAACTTCCGTATGAAGCACTAGATCACCACACTGGCAATTCATCAGTCAGTGCTCTGAACTATGATGTCTCTGAATTCCATGTACTCTAACTTTGTTTAATATTTTTATGACTGTTTTCATTACATCGTAATTAAAAACTTTCCACACAGTGACTCTTGGTGTATTACTCAATGGTAAGACAGAATTTTCGAAAAGCTGTTGTCTTTACGACTCAAGGTAAAGGTTATTCCTTCTGAATCTCTTCTCTCTGCTTAACATCGCAAGAGCTCCATCAGTTGCTAAACCCACCAACTTATTTATAGTACTATTTTCAGAGTTGATAAGATCTTTAACAGTTAAAACCATGTACTGTTCTGTAGTGCATCCTGTTAAAGGTATAATCTTTACCAGCTCCTTTCTTATTTTGAAATGATCAAAAATCATTCTTGCAAAAACAGCCATCTGAGCTGTATGAACTATATCAGTCGATTTGTCAAGTTGCAGGTGAAATAGCTGTAGCGATCAAAGTCAGTTTTAAGTTGTAAATAACATCAGAATTCATAACTTTCTCACTACAGTATTTGTAAAAAACTGTACAAATTTAATAGAAGACATTATCTCAGTTTTACTTTTGAAACTATCAAATAATGCATCTGCAGCTTCTAAAACTGCAGTTTTGATTATTTCACCATCTTCTTATGGTTTCTTATTATGTGCAATAATATTTGAAACTCAGAATGACACCTTAGTTGCTCCTTTATTCTTGTTTAATGATTTAAAAAAATTATTATTGAGCATTAAATTTAAATTTTAGCTGCCTTACATTTTCTTTTTTTAGAGCAGAATTCAGTGGGCAATTCTTTTCAGTCCCTGAGTGAGCGATTTTGAAGTGATGTTCGACATTCCCATTCTTCCCAACTGATACAGTTGCATAGCACAGTAAACACACACATTTATCCTTTACCTGGGTAAAGAAGTAATTGGTTTCCCATTCCGAACAAAAGTGATAAGTTTTTTGCATGAACATACATCATTAGAACAGGCCTCGCTTAGTACCAATGCATAAATCAAACTATCCAAATTAGCAATTGTCTCATATACACACGCAAAACATAATGGGCTCAACCTCACATGCATACAATCAATTATGAGATGGAACTGACATTGGCAGTTGCATTGGAGAAAGAAGCAGTTGTTGCCGTGCCTGTCCCCTGTCGTCAGTGTCAGCTCAGTGGAGGAATCAAGGTTAGCCAACTGGAATGTTAATGCAATCTATTGACAATGTCCTGGTGAGCTACTGAAAGAAAATATCCCTACGAGCTATCGGTAGCTCGCGATCGACGGTTTGGCGATCATTCATTTAAACTGTTCCATGAACTTAAAGGTTTACTTCCTAAACTGACATTTTGACTATATTTTATTATAGCATTTCTTTAATTAATAGAACATTTTTTTTAAAGTAAGGTATTTAAATGGTATTGAATAAATAAATAATAATTAAAAACGTAATGAAAGATAATCTAACATCTGTTAAAAATCTTATGTAAAATTCTGTGTGCTGTAAAGTATATGTCTTATTTTCTCATATAAATCTTTCTTCTCTCAGAAATTAGTCATTTTGATGTGTATATTTTTATTTAAAGAATGCCACCCCTCAGAAACTTTTTTATATTGAAGAAACTAAATGAAGTAGGGAATTTCCCCCCAACATATTTCCTCTTGCAAGAGCATAAGTTATTCAACATTGATAACTACTATTGACTAAATGAAAGCATTCTTTCTTTTTCCAAGATCCTCTGAAACCAAAGAAATTATGTGACTGTTAAAAACTTATTTTGTGACATAATAAAATTGGAATTGAATCTAGAAAAGCATCTCATTTGGAGTGCATTGATGTATTGGGAATGTTTTTAAGCATGACCTGTAAACAAGAACTCTATAATGTTAACAGTTGTTCTGTTCTTTTTGAATAGCATCTTCAATCTAAATTTAGATACAATAACATGCCAAAGAAATATTAATTTAGAAGTCAAACAACAAAAGTCAGCATTATATTTTCAAATTTCACAGGACTGGTTTCGATGGTTTTACCGAACCATCATCCTCAGCTGCAAAGTGCGCCTTGTTGTTTGACTTCTAAATTATTCTTCAATCTTGTTGTAATATCTTTTCTCGATTTTCAATTTCAATATATTTCTCAAAAATTTCAAAATTACAGTTATTATTTTTAATAAATGTGTTATGTAAGAAATAATTTTTCTTTTTCCTTAATTGGTTTTGATTAGAAAAGGGAAGAAAAGCTGGTGAAAAAGAAAAGAAAAAAGGTCGACGGGGTACTTCAGATGATGATGAAATCCCTAAATCAGTGCGGAAAAAACTCAAAACACAAGTTGCTATTCAGTAAGTTTTCCTTTTTGTAAATTTAATGAATAATTTTAAGGTTTTATTTTAAAGAGAGGTAACCTTTTTTTTTTTTAAATTTGTTTATTTTACTAAATTTTACAGGGCTTTTAATAGTATTTTTGTTCTATGGTTATAAATAGCATTTGTTTATCATTTCAGTTTCAAATTTGTTAAATTTATCATGAACTCAAATTTATCATTAACTAATGAAATTTGTTCTTCATTAGTTTACTTATTGAAAATTTCATCCATGTGTATGTTTAGTTAATGCATAAAAGAATTTGTGGAGATTCAGTGTTTGATATCACTTTGAGTGCAATATTAACTCAATTAATTAGTAATGCTGTTATATATTCTGCCAATATAATATTGATTTATGTGTGTGCTGTCTGCTTCACATGATTTTCATTGTTCTATAATCTGTCTTTAAAGAAATAGTATGTATATGTACAGCCATATTCTTGCATCAGCAACTAAAGATCTAATGTTGCTTTTGTCATCTTTTGCATTCCTGATGAAAAATACATAATATTTCTAATAAGCATTGAAGACAATATACAAACAAAATACTTTTGGTATTTTCTGCTGATTTGTATTTCAGCAATGTATGATTTATGTAAACCTCAGAATTTTTTACAATTTTTAGTTTATATATAGTGTGCACATGCAAATTTTTTTCCTGTAAAAATTTTAATTTTCATATGTATGATACATCTGTGTCACTAAATATTTCTTGTATTTGAAGAAAGGCAAAGGCAATACAACTTTTCAAATTTAATTGACTCAAAGTCGAAAACTGCTTTTTGCTTGTGACATTGATCACAGTAGGAGGATAATCATATGCAAAGAACAATAATTTTCAGAATATCTTTTTTTGGGGGGGGGCAAAAGTGACAAAAGTAGATCATAAAATAAATTATTCAGTGGAAGAATATAGAGAAAGCTGAAGCTTTTGGATCAGCATGGCGAACATGTGGATCTATTTAAAGCAAGCATGTCAAACTTGTGGCCCTAGGCTCAGTTTTCTGCGACCCTTGGTTCCCTTTAAGAACGTAAAAAGGTAAGGTTGGGCTTATAAGAAAAGAGAGCCTGTTTTGTAAAAAAAGAAAAAAAATGCTGAGAAGTTTCGACATTTGAAGAAATGTTCCGTGATAATATATCTATCAAAGATAAGCACTCTCAATTTTCTGCTCCTTTTTCAAACAACATTAAGATAGTCCAGCCTGTGTACAGATGAAAATAATAAAAATTCAGATTAACTTGGCTCTAAAACAAAAATCCAGTGTGGTGGGTATCTCTGAATTTTTCATATACTGTTTTCAGAAAGTTCTGCAACTGTCATAAAACTTTGTGTTTTTCAGAAAGCTGAAAATTTACATCATAGTGATTTCTATGTTAATTGCATACATATCAGTGGGAACAACTTTTCTCACTTTGAAAAGGAACCAAGTCACTAGTAAGATCCAGGTTAACAGATATGTATCTGGCCTTGTTCCAAAAATAGTTAGTACAAACAGCTTATCTCCAAACATCTGAAAATTGATTGCAGGAAAAAGATGCCAGATGTTGGGGAAGTAGCAAAATCAATCCATTTACAACCCAGATTCTCATATGTTCCCTATTTTTTTAGAACTACAGTATTAGTTAAAATTTTTTGTTCTTACTCCAATTTCAAATGCATCACAAAATATCAAAATCTGATGTGTACACCACATGACTTCCTTGTACGGAATATTAAATTATACGCATTTTTTCTTGCATTTCATTTAAACTTATTGGATTGAATTAAATTTACTTCGCCGACAGCACATAAACCACAATAGAATAAATGCATTCTTTAAAATTCACTCTATTTGTTTACCATAGCAACACTCTGGCACTACGTTCACTTAACAGTATTGTATTTCATTCATATTATAACTCAGAATGCACAAAATTTATATCATTTAAAGAATTATCTAGTCGCTGCCACGTTCTATTCAAATACTATAATAAAGTTAGAACGATGTATAAAAGAAATTAAGCAAACAAAACAAAAAAGTTTTTCACAGACGATTGAGTATTTCTCATTCAATTAATTCAGTTCTCACTTCGCAACAAGGCAAAAATACATAAAAACTCAAAATATCTGTATTAAAAATTACGAAGTAAATCCTAAATAATTATTTCCTCGAAAAAATTCCAGAAAGGATTAAGCATGATTTAATTCGCAATAATAAATGAAGGCGTTATCTTTGTTGTTGCGAAGCTAGGTTTCTCTAGATTGGCAACAAATCCACTACTCTGCTGTTTCAAATGTAAACAAGCAATGGCCGCCATCAAAAAATTGTTAGGCTTAGCGGCACTTAAACAATTTTAAAATTGTTGATAATTCTAAAAATATTGCATACAGATTTACTAAAGGCATAAAAACCTTAACCGGAAGATATTGATACATAATTCAATCATCTTTAAAGCAAAAAATGTACAATTTACAAACATATAAGAGTAAAGAAACTGAGATAACTGAGCTGGGTAACTGAGTAGATATATATATATATAAATATATTTATATACGTTTGGTGCGGCCGATTGCAACCAAAATATGAGGTGCACATAAACATGTTATAGTAGTCGTATGTACAAAATTTCAATGTTCTGAGGCTACTCGTTTTTTAGTTATGCGAGATACGTACGTTCGTACAGACAGCACGAAAAATTCTCTTCAGAATTCATTTTAAAGCAGTTTTATAATTTTTTTGGAGGAAAAGAGTCTTTTATTTTGTCCTTACGTACAAATATCACGGAAAAACATCGTTAAATTGCATTCGAAAGCAGTCAAAATGGTTATTTTCGTTGAAATATGCTGCCTGAAAATTTTCACGATTACAATACTTCCTTTTTACTTCGTATAAGGAAGTAAAAATGGCTTTTTTTCTTGTGACCTGTACTACTGTACACTGATGATTATTTGGGCCACTTGAGATGCTTAGTTAACATATCTGATTTAACCTTTTCTGAACAGCACCCCAATATTCGTCCCTGCCGCCTGAGCTTCCATGATGACTCCACTGAACGGGGGATGCTTGCTCGTTAAGCCTAATTGTGCTAAAAAATTCAGCAGAATTACATTTTTTTCCAAATATTAAAGAAATTACATTTACCTTTATGCTTGGTGAATTATAAAATTAAATACGTATAATGTTTGCGGTTGTAATCATATGTATATAGTCAATAAAAGAGGAGTTTTAAAACAAACTTTCAGCATTTGTTGAACTACAATTAAAGTATTTAATATAAAGCAATGAATCTGCACTGACACATCTACACATACATATATACATTTAAAATGAAATTAAAAAATTTGTTTTCTTTGTGATATAATCTGAAGCATAGGTCCACGCAGAGTCCTACATTGCAGTCTTTACACTCAAAATAAGACGTTTTCTCGAAGCTCGCTTTCTCTGCATAGTTAGAGAGCAGACAATTTATCTTCTTCTCATTTTCTCTTTCTTCTTGTTAAGAATTAGAGATGGATATGCCTTTCTGAAAGATAAAATGGTATCTCTGTAGGTATTGCCTGAAATTCATATTCTAAAAGCATCATGCAAAATGTAAAATGCTTTTCTTTTGGCACAGCTCTACCAATAATGAGATTTTTATGATCTTGATAATTTTGTAACTTCAAATATTTGTAAAATAATTTTTTTTTTTTGGAACATCCAATGGATAAAGTAGTTTTTTAACTTAATATTTAATTATTTAATATTTGCAGAAAATACTTTGTTTATTTCATGTGTTATATTTATTATTTGCTCTGCTATAATAAACAAAACATGTATGAATTTGAATTAATTCATTAAAATATTGTAGACCAGAAATTGGTGCTCTTCCAGCTGCATTGACAATTACTCATCCTTCAGACGTGCTTGATATGCCTGTTGATCCAAATGAACCAACTTATTGTTTCTGCCATCAAGTATCTTATGGGGAAATGATTGGTTGTGATAATCCAGATGTAAGTAAAGTATATATTTTTAGCAAAATGATAGCTTTAATTTATTTGATCGATGCATTTAATGCTGAGGTTCTTTCAGAGCAAGTATTTTTAAGCTTATAGAAATTTGCATGTTTAAATGCGAAATTATTATTGTTATTACTTTAAAATAATTCTCATTTTATCAGACTAATTATCTTCTTACTTAGTAATGTTATTATGTGTATGATAAAACCCAAGGTATTGCAATATGATTTGTTAAAATGTTACATACTTTAATCAAATTATTGATCATAAATAAACATGCTTTTATTTCAACACTAAAGTAATTCGCATTTTATCAGAATCATTATTTACTTAGTAATGTTATTATGTATATGCCAAATAATAATAAAATTGATATTCTCTAAGGTATTGTAATATGATAAAACATAAGTATTGGATTTGTTAAAATGTTACACATTTTAATCAAATTACTGATCTTAAATAAGCATGATTAAACAATCAGTCTCTAAATAGTAAGTAAATAATCCCTGTAGGCTGAAATACTGGTAATACCTGCAACCATAAACAGAGAGGTAAATGTAACAGACAAGGTGAAATCATTATGCTGGTTAGAAATCGGAATTTTGAAATTGAACAAAACACTGGGAGCAGCACCTTTAAATTTTATAGGTTTGGAAATGCTTGAGAGAAAACTTTTGATTGTGAAAGAAGCAGATAAATTACTAAAAAAATATAATGTAATTGTAATTAAGCCAAAGAGAAGCTGCATTTGCATAGGTAATTTTGCAAACAGCATTGTATAATATATTTATACAAATAAATATGGTACGAAGTCCGAGATTCGGACTTGTCGGGACTTCGACGATTCTGAATTTGGGATTTTTCCGGTTGTTAGATCATCAGTTTAAATCTAGTAAGATGACATGTAGAAATTAAAAATATGAAATCATGATTTATGAAATAATGAAGCGTTTATGATGCAAAGGGTGTCAAAATTTACCAAAAAGGCTTAATATTTATTTGTTTACTTTATTAAACATTTCTTTCAGTGTAAGTTGTTTAAGTTGGTTCATTTTCTGTGCTAATACTTTCTCTTTAATTCTACAGACAGACATAGTTTCTTTTTCAGTTACAAAGTTCCATTTTGTTAAGTCCTGTAATTGCTGTGTCGTGAATTCGGACTAACTTATCAAACGAAATTTTTTCATTTTCAGTAACCTCTCTGTAACTTTCTTCACTATCGGTAACAGTATTTTCTGCATCTAGAACCATACTACAGATTTCGCCATTCCTTTATTAATTGATGATTTGGGCATTGTCACCATAATGGAAAACTTCTGTTACACCATCTTAATTTATTACCGCTTCTCTGCATTTCTTTACAAAATCCATTAATTGGAAAATTTCACCTTTGGTTTGCGATATCTAAAGACCTTAAAATTCACGGCTATCATCTTCATCATCCTCACCATGCAATATGGTAGCTGGGCACTTTTTAAAGCATCTGGAGACACATCCTCCCACGATCATGTGATGCTCACCACAGCAGATTTGAAGCTAAAATGTTAAAAAAAAAAAAAAAAAAAAAATTATTGAACAATCTTGCCATTATTCAAGAAATTTAAACATGGATTTTAAAAATGCTTCTTTATATTTGCATTTGAACGTTCACACTATTACGATATCCATAGGCTGAATGATGACCATGCAGTTTTAAGGAAAGTATAATATGGATGCATTATCTTGCACTAAAACTTTAAGTGAAGTATGAGCCGAACAGTTGTCTATGGTCAGGACAATTTTTGCATCATCAGGTAAATGAACTGAATTCAAATGTTGGCGAGTCTCGGGTATGAAATGATTTTCAAACCAATTTTTCATTTGCTTGTGTCATCCGTGCTCTTTTATTTTCATGATATTATAGCGACGAAATTCTTTACTCTTTTAAATGCTCGAGGTTGTGTAATTTTTATGATTACGAAGAGTTTACACTTGTGCTTTCCTGCAGCATTTGCGCATACTAAAATTGTTAATTTTGCTTTAGAATTTTTGACAGCACTTGGAGCTTTTTCTTTTGTACTGGTTGCCAAGGTATTTTGTGGTACATATTGTCAGAAATGACCAGTTTTATCAGCATAGTAAATTTGTTCTGGAAATAACTTTTCACAATTAATCAGTTCTCTAAATTCATCTGCAAATAATTCAGCAACTTCAGTATAATCTGAAGTTTTTCCACCTGAAATTTTTAATTGCCTTATACCATGGCGATTTTTAAATTTGGATAACCAACATGTCAAATATGTGCACTTAGTTTTTAAGTTCATTTTTTCATGGAAGATTTTGGCTTGAGGTATTAGAACTCTTATCTGTCAATGGTATACCCTCGCTGAGACGCTGTCTGACCTATTCAATCATCACTTTGTCATGATAGTCACTTCTAGCATAAGGAATAATTTTTCTGCTATTCATTTGCGAATGGGGTGTCAGAATCACATAAAATTACTATTTCTGTTTTTTTTTTTTTTTTATGTCAGTTGACTTTGCAATGCCATATTCCTTCCATAATTTTGAGACGGATATACCTTTATCCATTTTTTGCAGAAATTTCCATTTTTTGTTTGATGGATATCAAAACATGCATATAACCTTGTGCATATATCCAGAAGGAAATCTTGGAAATGTGTCGGAGTGCGTATGGCGAAGAAACATTATCTTGCAAGACAGTATTTTAGTGGTTGAAACTTTTCTGTGACGCAGAACGACGGCAAATGTTGAAAGAGTTAGGAAGTTATTGCTGCAAGATCGCTGTTCCTCTGTTTGAATAATGGCAAACGAATTGAATCTTCCTCATGAAATCGTCCAGACAACATTGACACAGGATTTGGGTAAACGGAAACTTTGTGCAGTGTTTGTCCCTCATTATTTAAGTGATGAACACAAGAGTCTCTTCTGTTCATCACTTAAGAAACAGCAGTGATTGGACTCCTGTGGTGACTTCATCAATGTAGCAGATAAAGATGACACATTTTTACGTCAGCTGACACAGATGAAATGTGATGTTTTGTGTCTGATCCACAAACGAAACGCCAAAGCATGGAGTGACGCGGTTCCTCATCGCCAAAATCGAGAAAGTTTCATTTTGAAAAATCAGAGGTTAAGAACAATGTTGATTACCTTTTTTGACACACAGGGAATTATCCATAAAGAATACGTACCGGAAGGTTAAACAGTTAATGGTGAATTTTATTGCCATGTTATGAAGCACCACCTGGCTTGCATTCATTGTGTTCGGCCCCATCTCACTGCATCAGGCAAATGATTTCTGTTGCATGATAATGCATGCCCTCATACTGCAATGTGTGTTAGATGGTTACTCGTGCAGCAGAAGGTTACAGAGTTATTTCACCCTTCTTATTCCCCGGATCTTGCGCCAGCAGATTTTTTTCTCTTTCCACGACTGAAATTGGTACTAAAGGGACACTGATTTTCAAGCATATCAGACATTCAAGCTGCTGTTGCCAAGGAACTTAACACAGTCTCAAATGAGGACTTTTTCGAAACTTTCCAGAACTTGTAGGAACGTTGTCAGAATTGTATTGTAGACAGTGAGAACTACCTTGAAGGACAGTGGTATATTTATATGTAAATATTATAGCACAGTTATTATTATGACATCAGTCACCTTACTTTTTGGTCTCACCTTGTAATAACAGCCTACAAAGATTAATAAGTTGGACCAAATCAGGAAGTTAAAGAAAGGGCAATCTTCTGTATTAACTGAAATTCCTTGGAATCAATAAAGTATAATTTTAGTCCAGCTTAATGACATCCCCTATACATTATTGGCTATGTACTATGAGATTGGCAACAAACACAAGTTGTTTAGCTAAATTTTGTCTTGTTTTTATCGCACACTGAAGCAGTTAAGCCTGAATTGTATTAATTTAGTTATTTTTTGCACATGCTTAAGATTTATCTAAGTCCTGAATAAATAAATTCGCACATATACTTAAGGCTGATTGAGGGCCGGTGCTAGATACCTTACTGCCTGATGCAGTCTCTGGGGGTCCTAAATTCTGCTACTAAGTGCCCCTCTAAGTTCTAAATTTTGGGTCCCACTGCTTTCCTTAAAAAATTTTGTCATTCCTTAATTTTGCTGCTTGGTGCTTCTCTAAATTTTGTCTTTCCTAAATTCTGCAGCCCAGCGGCCATACGAGCTCTCGTACTGGTTCTGGGTTTATGTGAATAACAAATCAGTTGTTCTTAATTCAGATAGCAATAATGTAATCTTTTGGTGTATGAGTATCATTAACAAAACCTGTTTTTAGCATATGGAAAGAAATTTTGGTACTATTCCGTTTTGAGGGCCGTAAAAAATTGCAGCGAAAATGTATGAGCAAAAGTGCCAAATCTAGCAAACGCGCCCATTTAACAGCATGCCAAATATAGCGTACATTCTGATTTCAGATTGCGTAAGTTTAAATAAGTTTATATAGTTCTATATTTCTTAAGACGCCATTGAAATACTAGTTTAATTTTTGAATCCTTTTTTGATACCCTATGGATTTAACAATTTGGGAATTGCCCATGATGAAAAGTCTGCGATAGAATTTTGGGTAAAGTGCAGAATCGCCCACTGCTTGATGCGTTTTTAAGAATTGCACATACTCGGTATCCATGTACACATTGACTTATTTTAACTTCAATAAAAATCCCAGAATTGCACAAAAATGGCACTGCGCACATCCTTGACTTTATCTATGTACACATCGACCTATTGTCACTTAAAAAGTAAAAGAAAATTGACAAAAATCCAATTGTTTTTACCGTTGTAAAAAGCTACAAACAAATAAGTGGGCAATTCTGCACTTTACCGAGAATGTTTTCAAAGAAAAGGCATCATTCATTATAGAAAATTATGTTTGAACAACCAACGAGATGACATTAAGCTTTAGCGATAACTCGGTAGCGAAATAGCAATGCAGGCATCCATTCAGCTATGTTTAGCAATTTTTATATACTAAATTATAATAATGATCTCAATAGTTATTTACTCTTATGCTTCCATTCAGTGATGTTTAGCCTTTTATATATAAATTATAATAATAAAAAAGTATTATATTAAATTAACCTTTCATCTAAATTTACACATCAATCTTACATAGTTATTTACTATTATACTTCCTTTCTTGCATTAGGGTTGCCGCAATTATTTTTGATAGCAACAAAAGTGTGGCGATTTTTTACGGTCCTCAAAACTGAATAGTACCGACATTTTTGTTAAATCTTTTCTTGTCAACATTTCTTAGTGCATTTAACTTAAATCTGTAATCATCGGGAAGCGTAATGTCAACATAAAAGGTTACCATAATTTTTGCTATTATAAATTAAATTACTGATATAAAAAATTATTTAGGCATCTCTGCATGAGTCTTTACTCAAGTTATCATGTTTTGATAAACATGCGGTGATGAAAGCAAAATATAATAATGATTTGCCAGGTTGGCATCAGAGATTACAATATTAGTAGTGTAAAATCAATGATTTTTCTATGTTAAATGTTTCCGTTTGAGACATATGCCAAGGAGTTACGCAGCTACAGAGCCAAATTATTGATCACACAAATGTATGCTAAAATTATTGTTTCTTGAATAACAAGGTATTTTATTTAGAGCTTTTAGTTTTCAATTTTTATTAAATTTTATTAATAGTCTTATCATTAGAACTCATGAAGTAAAGGTGTAAAGCTGTAGTCATCTTTAAAAATAGTTTAATTTACTGTTAATATCTTTTATTGATCTTATTTTCATTTAAAAAATAATATGTGGAAGAAGGGCACATTTTTATATTGTTAACGAAGTACAGAATATGTAAATATATCAATAAATTTTCCAATTTGCAATTAACTTGCATGTGTTGAAGTATCTAATTGTAATACTAATTATTAATACAATCATTTAATGAGGAAATCTTTTAGTAATGTTTCTTAAGAAATGTATTTTAATTTATCTTATTTTATTCATAGTGTCCCATTGAATGGTTTCATTTTGCATGTGTTGGGTTAACAAGCAAACCTAAAGGAAAATGGTATTGTTCAAATTGTTCTGCAGAAAGGAAGAAAAAATGATTCAATGAATGGATTTAAATTATAAAGAACCATATTTGATGCCTGTATATATTTTTCAATTTATTGAATTCTTTAAATTCATTCTTTCTTGCAATCAACATGCACTACTGCATACTTTTATGTAAGCCTGCTTTGAAACGAAGCAAAGCATAAATTAAATTCAAACATTTTAATTTACTCTCATTGTGAAGGAACAAGTTAGAACATACCTCACTTGTTGTTGCATTATTAATTTTATTTTATTTTTTGTCTGAAAGTAAATAAATTTAAAATATAAATTTTATATATTTTCAGAAATGCTTTTGTAACTTAACCATTGAGTTGCTGAGAAAATTCTGGCCATTTCAAAACCTTATTGTAAGTGCTTATGTTTGTATGAAACCAAAAGCTGATTGTTGCAAAAGGTATGATTATTCTCATAAAATACCCTTTAGCCAATGCTGAGGAAGATATCAGATCCAATCTGCATAGCTGAGAAATGAATAATCTGCTAGCTACTCATTTATCTTAGCTCCATTGATTAAGACTTGTTCCTTCCACATTTCTGAAGCTAGGAAACACAGCAGTCTATTAGTATCAGATTTAATCTAATTACAATGGCTAAATCAAATTTTTTTTTTTGCTCAGGCATGTTAACTTTTGGGAGTTTGCTTCAGCCACGTGTTATTGTGAGTTATTGTGTAGGAATTGGAGAAAACTGTGCCACTGCTGCTGTATCTCAGTGAGTTTAATACTACTAACATGTAGAATCACTTCAGGTGTGAATCCTTGGTTAGGTTGAAGCATAGGTAAGTTATTTTTTCCCATATAAGTTAATTTGAGCTATTCCATATAAATTCATGATGTAGAGGCACTATTTCCTATTCCACATGGAAATAGAACTTGGGCATTGATATGGTGAAAAATGGAAAGCAAAGCATTATCTTCCAAAGCTGATATCAGGGTTCAGAATTTCATTGTGAATCTTGCTTGCCATATACACAAAATGCAGTATTAATGTGATTATTCAATATCACACCAGCAAACCTAGATCTGAAGTTGCATGCTTAAACAAAGGACTTATTTGAAGGCACATACATTAGAGTAATTAACTTGAATTTAGTTTTTTGTTTCTTCTTACCTACGTTTTATATAACCGTATATTAGAAGTTTTGAGAGTGATCCGGTGAAGATTCCTTTGAGAGGCCAGAAACAGCCAAAATTTTCTCATCAACACAGTGTCTCTGGTATTTGAATTGCAAGAAATTCATTTCATTTTTTATTTTCATCTAATTAATAATAATAACGAGCATTTCATCTTTTTATATTTATAATAAATATACCTAAGACACTTGTCTTGGGATGTATGTAAATAAAACATATTGCTTTTTTTCCCCCCAACTTGTTTGATTTTTGTTTAACTCTGTTCTAGTTTGTTTTGATTGTTATTTGGTTTATAATTTATGTTCTGAAATGACACATCTGCTAAATTCAACAGTCATTTTGTACAGAATATAAAATAAATTTCGGTTTTTAATTCATGTTTTAAGTATCTCCTTTCTATATATCGTATTTAATGCATACACATATTATAGATTTCTGCTGCTTTATGAAATGCTCACGTGTAGCCAAGTGAATAAAGCTGCTGAATACTAATATCTCATAGCTCATATTTATTTATCTTATGCATCAGGAAAATTATGCGTGTTTTTTATAGTTTTTATGATGTGTAATATAAATATGAACCAGTTTACCATAGAAAAGTCACAGTAAAAGCATATTTCCTTGTAGAGAGATAACCATCATGTGCAACCAAAGTATACGACTTATATTTTTATCCACGTGTAACTTACATTCAACCAAAGTAAAACAAACCATGTTTTGGAAGTAAAGTATTTCAATGAAACATTTTGTAAACCAAAAAAGCAATTCCATTAATTTATATGAAAAGAGGTTTTTCAAGGAAGCCATTAAATAATGACAACATATTTTTAAACCTAAAAGTTGCAGTGAAAGAAATAATGATATAATTAGCAAACAATTCATATAAATAGAAATACTATAATGTGAAAATTAACTGGGCAAAGGAATATTTTCACATAATTTTTAAGTTGCTTGCCAGTTGATGCAAGCAAACCCTTCAAAGCAATTTTATCTGCCTTAATATCATCTGGATGTCTGCTTTCTTTCAGCTTATTTATGTGAGAAGAGGGAGTTACTTTTGCATACTTTTTTAAATACATTTTGTAATCATTCATTTTAATATATTAAAACTTGATATAATGCCTAGAAGAAATGCAAAGATAATCATGCATCCATGACTGTAAGAAATGTTGCTTCCATAGGCTGGTGTTGGAAAATCAAGTTTCTCTCTAATTCTGAGAAGACACAATGAAATTGGATCATTTTCTTCAAAAAGGAAGAGCAAATGTTAAAAGGGAAACAGCTCTACAATCTGGTCAATTTCTACTCTAAAATAGCATTATTAATTTAACAAAAATTAGCAAAGATCTTAAAAGAGATCTGTTGTGTATCTGTAGTTATATCTATCCTTCAAATGTCCGAATCTAGACTTCTTATTGTTGGTCAGAAGGCAATATAGCCAATTAAAAAACAACTTTTGACCCATCAAATGAAGCAGAAACAATTATTGTGGGCCAAACAATACAGATCTTGGACCATCAATATTTTTTCAGCTATAAGGCATTATTTGTTCATCAAATGTTGTTAGACAAAGCAAGGGTGAATCGGTAAGACATTAACTTATCCAACAAATCATAAAATACCTTCAAAAACAAGTGTTTTGGGCTTTTCTCACTGCATATTGCACTGAAAGTGTAGTTCGTACTGATGGAATGATGAATTCATTGAAGTATATAAATATTTTAAAACGTGACTTCGCTTCATGCCACAATTTGAAGTCTGTCTGAAGGTTTGAAAATAAAGTTATTGTGCTAGATTCATCTGGAAATCCACCAGACTTAAATATGATCAAAAACTTATGGTGCATTCTTCAAGGAACATCTTAACAAAACTGATTGTACAGCATAGGAGTGAATGATTAAGAACATTATAAAAATGTGGCTCCATGATAAAGAACTTAAAAATTATATGCACACGACTAGTAGAGTCAGTGTGTAAGCACATTTTAGAGGTCATTAAAGGAAGGCATATTTCCTATTTTTTTTATTATCTTCACTCTATTTGAAAATACGTACAGGAATTATTAAAAAAATGCTTTGCCCCAATTAATTCACATACTGTAGTAACATTTGTTTAATAGAGTTTCACTCTGCAAAATGGAAAGAAATTTTATTTGCTATAAAAGTGGTGCAAGGCCAGCAATTTGTTGGTACATCTGAGGTGCTAGGCCCAGTGCAGGAAAGAGAAGCAAAAACTGTGTGGCAAAAAACTATCTAAAATTCTGTGACTGCCTGGTCCAGTAATGAAAATTGAAATTTGATGTACTTTAGTAAATATGAAAGGCATGTGGAAATTATGGAATGACTATGATTGTTATTATTACGGTAGAATCCCAATTATCCGAGTTTTGATTAACCAATGTTCCGTGCTATCCAATCCCAATGATGCCGGATTTCACCAAATGACAATGACACATAATGTTAAACTAGCTGTTCTGCACTTTGCATTTCTTGTAGACTCATGGATTCTCAGAATGATACATAGGCAAGGGCTTGATTTCGAAATCTCTGCTTGTGCTAGCGCACAGCAAGAAGCTGAGATGGTTTTTCATGAGCTTATGACAAAAAACTGCATTCTCTTCTGCTGTAATGTTGGTCGTCTTTGACATTTTTTTGAAAAAGGCTTGGTCTCATCCTCCTTAAAAGCTTGTTAAGGCAGGTTAACTTTCAGAAACACAAGTTTTTAAAATTTGGCAGCAATCACCTCAACTGCATTAGCTTCCGAACTCACACTGCCCATGCTTTATAACATTATGAATATCAATTGTTTTAAAATTATCAAACCATCCCTTCCTCTCCTTGAAGCCTTGTTTGTTTTCTGTTGACTTACCCTTCAGTTTTACATACAATGTTGGCAAACAAGATCTTTGCATTCTCCCAAATGAAGGTTATGGTCAGAACATCACCTGCTTATTGCTTTTCATTTATCCAGATGAGAAGCAACCTTTCTACATCTTCCAGATGTCATTATATTAACATTTCTGTGACTTCTTTTGCTTCTTTCTTTAATACTGTGAAAATCGTTGATGTTAACTTCTTATAAAATATTATGATTTTACTAGGTTACTTGAAACTTTACTAGGTTACTAGGTTACTTGTGTTTACGCTTGTGCTCTTCGGTAATTTCCATCTTAACTTCTATGATAATCGTTTCTTTCTTTCTGCAGTAGGATTTTACTTTATTTTGCTAATAGGCATTTTTAGTTTTTAAGACAGCTTTCCTTTACTTCCTCGTTTTTCTACTTATGCTTTCCTACCAAAATAAGATTTCAGTTTCACACTGTATGCAAAATAGGGGAGAAACTACTATTTAAGCTGAGATTTGAAGTACTTCAGTTAGAGAACTAAAGAGCTAGAGAGAGAGCATTTTACCTTTCGGCCACGTTGTTGCTACGAATTAAAGTTTGCTAGTTAGGGCCGTGCTTATTACGTTAGTCTACGCCGGTGGATTTTTAAATAAGAGCCAGCTATGCGGGAGCAACACTGTGCAACTAAGGCTGTTTAGTTCTATTTAGTTTTAGTTTAATTTTAATATTCTAAGTTCAAGCCAAAAGTGTTGGTTTCCTGTACACCTAAGAGGAGCCATCTGGAAATATAACCTGAGTCAGAATAAAAGGGTATTTTAACTCTTCTTTGGAGTTGTTACTTTTGCAGCAGGAACTCCGTGAATAGTTGCTACACATTTCTACTAGGTTTTAGCAGTTAAAGAACTTTATTCCAGGTAGAACATTGCACTACTCCTCTCCTTTTCAATGTTTTTCTTCTGAGAAGTTATTGCTGCAGAAAATTACTAATGAAAAAACACTGAACTTGGACACAATAATAATAAAAAAAAAGACACACAAAAACATGATCAGTGCTTTTGTAAACAGGTCACCAAAATGCTATAATACTAACTGTACAAATAAGGCATACTGACTGAAACCCTGTGTGGAAGATGACTATTTGCAAATCCGCAGTAAGAGAGAGAAAAATTTCCTGTATCACTGTGACCACTTGATTCTCAGCAGTGATTTCAGCACGAGTAAAGCATATATGTTTTACTCGTGCTGAAAGACATTGCTTGTTTATCAAGTTAAAATTCATTAAAAATTTTTACTCATCTAGCAAAACACTTTGTGGGTTGATTTTTTAAACTAATTGGCCTATCTCAAGTGTTAGCTCTGAATTGTTTCAGGTTCAAAATGGAATCCGAATACGGAGATCTGATTGAAAGTTTCTTTAATATTTATAATTTTTAATTATTTTGTAATATTTGAATTTTTTAATAGTTTAATCTTTTTGAAGTAATTTGCTTAGTAATTTGAAGTTTTCAGATTGCTCTTCCCCCCCCCAAATTTCTGACCGATTTTTGTGCAGTGACGAGAGTATAAGAATAGTGAAGTCTTATATATATAGACCATCCATGTAAGACGACCATCTGGCGGGAGGTGAAAGTGACCAACATTTGTGATAATAGAAATAATTGATTGAATATCATCGATTTTCACGTTAAGGTGACAAATTTCCTAAGAGACTCAAATTGTTGAAAACCATAAGTAATTGTCTTAGGAAGGTTTCATTATAGCGTTTAATATTTTAAAGCTGTTAAATTGCTTATGTACATGCAAATTTATTTAAAGTTATTTTCGCTCTTAATTTTTTACTGTTTAAAGTATAATAGAATCGTGCACTTTAAATTCAGTTTATCATACTAGTATGGATGTGAAAACATGTAATTTAGGATAAAAAATATTTTATAGAAAGCATTTGGCATTATTTTAAACATGTTGAACATTATGAATAATATCTGAATGAAAAGCTAAAATGTAACTAAAATTGGTACTATTCTATTTTGCCGGCACAGGCGATAAAGTTGCCAATAATGGTACAACTGATGCCAAACGGAAGATCCTTGCTGGTAACCTTTTACGCCTCATTTTCAAAACAAGTCGCAGCCATTTCTTATCAGATTGATTGTTTTTTCCAATACTGGCATAAAATTACATAGAATTTTTACCAGAGAGTTCAATTTTATGCCTTAAGACCATTTGCTGTAATTAAGTCAATTAGGAAGCAATCACACCGCTCACCTGAAAACGAAAATATAGTAAAGGCAAAGTCAAGGGTTAAATTCATCAATTCTAATGGAATCCACCAGCGAAGTAAAGCACTGCGATTTTACATAATTTCTGAGTAAGCTATTCGTAGAAATTGCTATAATTCTTGCATTTAAACTTGTATTCCATATTAAGATTTAACTTGAAATTAATGTAGATAATTACTGAGAGAATTAGGTTTTTGTAGCATAATTTACGTGAAATGAGATCACTTGGGGTCACGTGATATGAAACGGCAAA